TTTTTTTTTTTAATACCCACCCGTAACCGCCCCTGATTGTCCTTAACAACCCCCAACTGTCCCCAACCCCCTGGACGTCACAGGATTGACGTGGTAATTTTCATTATTATTAATATTATTATTTTTATTTTGTTTTCGAGATGTGGCAGTTGTTGCAACTATTGCCGCAACAGCAACCGTTGTTACATCTAGTCGCTCTGATGTTGCTATGGATGCATTTGGTGCTACAGGAGCCTATGCAACCTGTATAGCATCTGCAAATGCAACAACCCTCGGTCTGTCGCACACACATACACACGCACACACACACACACACACACACACACACACACACACATAAATATTACATACACAGGGTTAAACACATATGAAAATAGTATGAAATTTTGAAAAATAAAAAATAAAAAAATGAAGAGATATAAAATTCACCCTTGCGGGAGAAAACGTTTGCTTCATACGAAAGCGAAAAATTTGGAATATGAGAAAAAGTGTTACGCTTGAGAAAAAATCCAAGCCTGCAAAGCTACAACACTCACATCGGTTATATCACGGTTACCCGATGGGAACCTCTACCCGCCCGTACCCACCTTTTTTTTTTTTTGACCACCCGTACCTGCCCATACCCGTCTATTTTTTTTTTTTGGCCCCCATACCCGTTTTTTCCTTACCCCTACCCCTACCTGCCCCTACCCACCCTTGATCTCCAAAAAGGGCAATTGTGCCCACCCTAACAACCACCACCTTTCATTTGTGCCTGCCCATACCCAACTCCCCCTTCGGAAAGGGTACCCATACCCGCCCATAACCTGGTCGTTACGGTCGGGTACAGTCGGGTACGGGCAACGGTTACCCGTTTGCGCTCTCTGGGCAATACTTCCTCAAGGACAACTCCGACAAAAAAGTCTTGTTTCACTCCATCAAGGTCAGAAAGGGGCCACTAGGCGCAACAGTGTCTATACCTGACTTGACGCTGACAATCTTCAAGCTGTTCAGTGATATGACAACGAGAGAGAAGCAAGTGGCGCTTCACCACATGATGCGTGGTGATGTCATCGTGACATCACGTACGGTACCTCGTGGTAGATGCAACATGGCGGACCTAGTGGAATATACTCGGCGTGAAAGATATATGGTTCATATGTTCAACTACATATTGTTCAAGGTCGAGGGGAGGTCAAAAGAAGAGTGGACCGCTGACTTCTTCATCGGTTATACGACCATCTTGGAGAGGTACAACAAAAACGACCTGACGAACGAGAAATGGACCGAGGAACGCGACCGCATCCCTGACGACAAGGCGAGGAATGTGCCGAGGCGTTTGTGTGGTCCTGATGAGATTAATGGTGAGAACAGTGCGGGACTGGAGGCAACCCAAGGCATGTACAAAGAAACCCCGTTCCACCTCAAGTGTTTCATCTACGAGGCGATCGAATGCTTGGATGACCTGATAGCGGAGGTTAATCGGATATCCTCCAGTGCTTGTCACATCTTTTGGGAAGTGGGGAAGAGGATTACCATGATCCTGCCATTTGAAATCGAACTGAAGAGAGTGCTCACCGACAACGAGGAGGTTGTTGGTACGGTGAGGGGGATGAAGATACGGACAACCATTCTTGATATGTCAATATCACCGAAATGTGTTCCGTGGGATGATGACGTATTTTCCAAACTGTACGCTTTCCTCATGAGATGCTGTGGCGAAAACTGGGTCTTGATCATTTTCGCGCCGATGAAACACCAGAAACAGGTGATGCAGAGTGTGTAAAACTGGGATGATGTTGAGGTGCTCACAGGGTCATGATACAAACACTGTACACCTTCGACAACCTTAAACAAGTACGGCAACATTGCAGTTCGGTACACTGAAATGATGGTTATTGTCCTCCACGCCGAGAACAACAATTTGGACAATATAACGTTTCTACCGAAATTGCGAGCCGAGTTGACAAATTTGAATGTTGAAGAGGGTGAATTTGTGAGGTGCTCAGGGGAGTTTATCGGCATGGAGGGCGACACTGACGCGGCTTATTCTTGGATGGAACGAGAGCCAGCACGTCTCTGAAAACTATGCAGCTCGTTCATCAGGGAGGACGATGGCGTGATGCTGTTGGGCAGGGTGCATGCGAGACTGATTTGGGAACTCGCTCGCGCCAGACACCACGTGTTTGCGTGTGACGACACGACAAAAGAGCTCACATACCTTTTCAAGTTTTTTGGAGTTTTATGTGAAGGATCCGAGGAACGAATGTACGTTAAAAAAAAAACAACTCGAGCACTGCGAGGACCGGGACATATACTATAAGCTCGGCAGAAAGAGGGAGAAAGTGTGGGCTTACTTGTTCGGTGACGCTCCACAGTCGGCGGTTGATAATAATTACGTCATCAGAAAAAGTGAACTCGAGATAGCAATGAACGAGTACCACGGATCGCACATGGGTGCTTTCCACATGTTCATCGCACGTTGTGAGCATCTGTATTTCAATATGAAGAAAAGAGCACTGTCAAGCAGGGACTATGCGGACTTGGCACATAAAGTCGGCAACTTCAACAACATCAATTGCGACGAAGACACGTCAGACTCCGACCTGGGCGTTCCGTCGCGCGCGGCACGAGGTTCGGAGGAGGGAGCACGTGCCGAAGAGCCGCAAGGGAGCACCAACGTAGATGCGGAGAAGGCGAGGTCGAGTTTAAGAGCGACACGTGCGACTGAGGGAAATGTGGAACATAGAATGAATGCAAGGGGAGAAAAGAATGGTGTACCAATGAACCCGGTGGGTGCGAGTGAGGAAATTGTTAACTCACGGGGCAACACAGCGGAAGGAGAGAATGAGTGTGTAATGACCCTGCCGACAGTTGGACCATCATCGACACAGATGAAGACGAAGACATGGGTATGACAACACTCATGCGGAAGCTCGTGCCAGGAAAACCGTTACCTCAAGGTTTTGCTCAAGATCCTTCAGTGCCATACTTGCTGCAAGGCAAGTACAAGGAGTCATCGGAGGAGGATTGGGGTCATCATATTCTCTGGCATGAGGGCGTGTTCAAACCGTGCGTGTTTGCAGGCAAGTGGCACATGGCTGTGAAGACAAAAGACCGCAGGTAGGTCGCGAAGGAAAGAAAGGACGCTGCGATATGGCACAGCATGACGGAAACGCAACTTTTTCGGCGAGTTTTACAAGAAAATGTCGGTGCGAACGAGGTGGCGGTAGCGGCAAAGGCGAAAGCTTTGTTTGAGCATCTGCGTGCGAACAAACAACTAGAATTCAACACAAAGTTTTATGACCTTGTATCAAGTGTGTCGTACGGCTCCATCGATTGGAAAATCAAACAGGCATCAGCAGTACAAGGAATCAATAACATCACCTCTCTGAAGACTCAAGACGTCATCGTGTCTAACACCATCGTCGTGATGACCACAGGGGATGCAGGCTACGAAACGGACACACGTGCGAACGCAGGTCACATGCAGAATGAACAGTTGCGAGCATGTGTTCAACAAAGTACACAGAGAAGTGCAATGGGGGATTCCACTATGATACGCAAGGACGGCGACGACATGGAGTCGGACACATTGACAGAGCAGCCAACGCGCGGGGTCAACGATGGGGCAACAATTGTTGGATCTTTCGGGTCGCTCTTGAGACAATGGCGGCGAGGCAAGGCGTATCTGAGATGATGGAGACCGATGCTGGCCAGGATGGTGAAAGCCAGACGGTGAAGGTGGCGCAAGAGAAGGTGGCAGCAACAACAGAGGAGACGAAGAAAGGTGAGGGATCCCGCGGACACATTTCCATAATAGATATGAGATCGGAGAGTACGGGCGAGGATATGATCCAGATAACGACCAAGAAGAGGACCATGCTGCACCACGAGTAGAAGGTGACAACGAAGAGGACGCGCAACGACCGAGACGGTCAACGAGAGCAGTAATTAAGAAAACTGTGTTTGATGCATTAGGAAGGCTTAAACGGGCATGGACGTTTACACGTTTCTGGTTATATTAATGTGTCGCCCAAAATCATGATGCGATATTCATCGGTCTTCACATGGGGTGTCTACGCATTTCTAGTTATATTGATAGGTTGCCGCAGGGTACTATTTTAGAAAACTATGTTAGACAGGAATGGTTGTCTACGCGTTTTAGGTTATATTGTTGTGTTAATGGAAGTGTTATTGTGACACTGCAATTCTCAAAATTGCAGTGCCGATAATAGAGAGTGCCCCATCTCGATACGTAGGTGTGTGTGTGTGTGTGTGTGTGTGTGTGTGTGTGTGTGTGTGTGTGTGTGTGTGTGAGTAGGCCGAGGTGGACTCGTCAGCAGCGTTAGGTTCTGTGTGTGGATTAAATTGTGTGCGCGTGCTTGGTATAATTTTATAATAAAGAAATATGAAAACACACTATATGGGGCACTTTCTTTGCTATGTGTCAAGGATATCTCTAATTTCAGAGAACTTCTTATACCGTCTTCTAGCGCGCTTCGAATGGTCGTCTTAACCTAAATCCCCACGAACTTGAAAAAAGAAACCATACTAAAGAAATGAAAAAAAAAAAAAAAAGT